ATAATAATAAATGTCGTCTCCTAGATCACACCTTGTGTCAGCAGCAGGTATGTCAAATTCAAACCCAACTGGCTATGGAGCTGCGTTTCTCCAGCTGGATCCTCACGCTGCCTTGCTCCATAGTGAAGCAACCGTTTTATTTTCCCATGCCTGGGTCTGTCCGAGGCACAGCACCTCCTTGATGTGCAGTTGACAGCAGGTAACACCTCAAGTATAGCTGTCACCAATCCCTGCTTCTTCATAGGCAAACAGCATCAAACACATCCATCTCAAGTGCTTTTGTCAGCCACCTGCAGCCGCTTTTGTCCTTCAAGAGAGGGGCCGGRCTAAGGATGTCACACTTGGATGCCAATTACTGATTTAATGTGAAACATTTCAAGGCTTGAAAAAGCTCTGAAGGCATGCTGAGGACCTGTCCAAGGCACGTGACCCGATGCTAGGACGCCACCTCTGCAAACTCTTCCAAACTCACCATGAAGAAGCCAGTGACAGACYCTGCTACTGCTCAGGCAACACACAGGAAAATATCCTCCAGGTATTAAAATAAGCAATACGCAAACATGAACAACCAAACCTGATCTAGCAACACCCACGCTGTGATGATGCCTCTGTACCCACCCAGCACGGACTAATTCATCAAGAGCCCTGCATCTGCCTACGAGGAGAAGACGACGCTGAGGCATTTGGTCGGTTTAGAGCGTTCATGGTTGTCTCTTGACGAACGTAAAAATCAACTGGGTCAACACTTTCTCAAGGAGTGTGAGGAACGATGCTACCTACATGTCCGATGAGGCCTACACAGCAGGATAGGCTTAAAAACAACAACAACAACAAAAAAAAAGAACAACCAAAACAAAGCAAAGTTGCTGAGCTCATCCAAATAACTCTAACCTCATCCCTGGTCTTTAATTCCTCCCACACCTTACAATTAAGTGACAACCCCAGTCCTGCTCCCAGTAATCTCCAGGACAGAGTGACAGGGTCTCACGCAGATCTCAAGAACTTTCTGCTTTCAAAAGCGGGAGCCCAAACATATTTCTTTTTACACATAAGAGGAAAGTTAAACTAATCTAAATTGTTTTCCTAAATTACAAGATTATATCCCCTGCTTACATAAACATTTCAAGGTCTTGCTAGCATAAATATTTAATTTACTTTTCAAGTTCATTTTAGCATCAAGCTCACTACAGAAGACGCAACGCCAAAAGTGTGAGACAGCTAAAGAGATATTCAGGTCTTAAAAGGACTATCAATCTATTCCTTCCAAGTTTCCTAAAAGCAGTAAAATTTAGACAGATTATATGGGATTGATGGAAGAAAATTAAATTAGAGGCAGATTAAGTACAATTTTCATCCAATCAGCCCATGCCTGCATAAACCTAATTTCCACAAGCCCTGAAACCAGATATGCCATACGAAACCCCTCTGCTTTATGGCACAACCAGGACTTGGTCATACCTGCATAAGCTGCAAAAATAAAAGCTACTGGAGACCCTAACCTGCCCTATCATCAGCCCTGCTGACAGGGCCTTCCTCTTTTTGGAGACTAAACRCTTGATTTAGTGCCGATCAACAACGCACAGGTGGCTGGTTGCAGTTTTCCTAGAGGAGGGAGCTCCTGCCAAGCCTTTTGGCAGGCCYCTGAGGAGCAAATCTAGCCCTATACTCTAATGGACACAGCCCATCTTTCACACCACGGCCACCCCAAGATCAGTGGAGGCGACTCTTCCATGCAGCAGGATACCATGAGATGAAGGTGGAGGGGAGGTGAGTGGCCAGGGAGCTTCTCCCTGTCCTACCGGTCTCCTCCATCAGCTTTCTGGCTGTGCTGGTGGCCCGCTGCCCACGCATAGCAAGGCGGACACGGGGCAGCGCGCACTGCCACATGCCGAACGGCTCGCCGGCAGCCCTAACAATTTCAGGAAGTATCTTCTGGTTCTCCAAACAGAGCCCTCCAAAGGGGAGGAAGCAGATGGAGAAAGTTACTTTTCCCCCTCCGATGACCCGGTTGAGATGCATACTCTGCTCTATCCTGCTTCTCTTTTACAAGTAGAACACAAAATTTGCAGGAAGTTCACATGATCGGTGAGCAAACTCATGCTGCTTGTGTCATCAACATGGGCTGTGGCAGTGTGGGCGCTGGAGATACTCTGATACAAGGGTGCTTCTGCTTCGTGAAGGCCTGGGCATTTGGACAGATTTAATGCCCTGACCCCACTAGAGACATGTGCAGAGCAGCAGAATTGAGGGGAATCCTTCCAGCAGGTCTTCATCCAACCTTTGCTGCCTGCAAGCTCTGATGGCAAGGGAAGAGGCTCGGTTGCTGCCAACAGTTCAGCAATTGGTTCCCTGTGATCCCCAAGAAGCAAAGATCCGCATCTTCCCTTCATGCATTTACTATCCAGGTAAGCATTGTGCCTCCCGATGAAAGACCTGCTGGATCCTTCTGACTACTCRTTCCAAATTAAAGCAGGAGGAAGTTCCTCACAGCACCGCTTTACTTATTCTCATCTTCCTATATGCTAATGGTCATTGTCTTCTGAGTAATTTGCTTGGATTTGTATGCAAACAAAGAAGGTTTTAGAGATACCTACTGCCTCACAGGAAGGCGGTATGTGTCATGACTAAAAGAAATTTCAGTCATATTCTTTCCTTTTTTCTTTTCTCAACTGATACATGATATATGAAAGGCAGCACCACCAAAAGCAGAAGTCAGTGCCGTGGCATAAACTTCTGCAAGTCACATGACAGGTTCCAGCATTTCCCTAAAGTGGTCTTCAAATGGGAAGAGCTTGCGGCCTTCTGCCCTCCCGTTGGCCTTCTGTCCTCCCACTACTCCCAGAGTGTTTGGGTGGCCATGAGACGCATGACGCAGCTCAGCTGCACTGAAGGCTGTTGGCAAAGCCCACATGCACCAACCGGAGACCTCTACTGAGAACATCCACCTTAAGGAGCCATTTGATCCAATTCAGACATTTGATTCCAGCACAAGACTCACATTTTTTTGTGGAACAACTAAATATTCATCTCCCTGTGTTTGTCCAACGCTCTCCTACTTCAGCTGGAGCACCTTCTTCTCTACCCTCACCTCCAAAGTTTTTTGTTTTGTTTTGTAGCTAGCTCAGGAAGGAAGAAAAGAACCATCAAGTGCTTGGAAACGCCAAGCTTCCCCAGCAAAAGGCATRGTAAGGGCAGACCCAATCCATCAATGGGTCAGCCCATTTTCATGCCAACTGATGCAGAGTTACCCACCAAGGAGTTCAACCTGACTACTCTGGATATGCCTGGAGACACCTTCCATAAACACACCTGAGCAGCGGAACACATGGATCTTCCTTGCTGTGTTCCACCAGCTCATTTTTCACTTCATCTGCCAGATCTAAACTCTTTCCTTCAGCTGCTTAATTCACATTCATACTTTAAAACTTGCCTCGTAATATAAAAAGAAAACAACATCCATCTCTTGTTTACTTTCTGATTTCCACTTGCAATCGCCAGAAACAAAGCCACAATCCTGGCATTTGCTCGATTGCATTATTCASCACCAACAATACCTCCCAGTGATGCTTGATAAGTTTTTGTTTATCAAAAACTAGCACAAGTAGGATAACATATGGCCACTAATTGCTTTTTCATTTAGGACCCTTAGTCTAGTGAGGAGGAAAAAAAAAACAACAACAAAAAAACAACTTTATCCATTGAAATGGCACTTACTCCTGCCAGGAATGCCAAAAGCCAAGAAAACTTTGGTAAATAAAGGTTTAAAAGTTCTAACTCCTAGAAGCCATTTCACTAGGAATGTAACCTTCTGGTTAAATAAGAGAGGTAAGTCAGGCTGGTTATGTTTCTACTTATATCAACTTCATATATTGGCTATCAAGTATTTTTATTTTTTCCAGATACAAGAAGATGGAACTTTCTGCACTGGCCCCTACCCTTGTGGGACTATGAAGAGAAAACCATGCCTCTCTTCCTAATATATTAGTGCCTCGTAATATACACCAGATGATCAATAAACTGCATAAAAATGAAATCAAACTGACAGTCTTTAAAAAATGTGCTCTAAGCAGAAACAATTGTTTTAAAGACCGTGGTGTCTGGAGTATTAAACTCACGTGCTGCCGCGTTATTAATCTCTTTGTTGAAGCAGGCTGATTTCCCCTGCCTGCATCTGTCAATTAAGTATTTGCCATTGCATCCATAATGGCACGGTCGATGTTTTGGCATGCGAGGGCTTTTTGGAGGCAGCCTGTTGACAGTTTCTTTGCATACCACACCAATTCCCAAAGCCAAGCGGGCTGGCAACTTCGGAATCCGCCTGGGACTACAAGATGCCTGAAAACACTTCAAAGCGACCTTTTTTTTTTACTTTTTTTAAGGAAGAAATTAATGCGGCGAGGTGCCTGTACTTGGTGCAAGGAGGGAGACGAAAGAAAGAAGGAAAAACTTTAGCCAAGGGAAAAAAAAAAAAAAAAAAAAAAAAAAGGAGTAGTTGCAAGAGCTCGGTTTCTCAAATATCCAACCCCTTCCCCCCTTAAAAAAAAAAGAAATAATAACTAAAAATCGAGTTGCCCGCCGTGCTCCGGGTTTGCTGGCGGGTGGAGCACTACCCCCCTCTGGAGCTGGACCTGCGCTCGCCAAGGTGAGCGCCGGGCAATGGCCACGAAGCCGGGGGGGTCCCGGGCCCGGGGGGAGCGCGGCCCGGGGGGACCCGGGCCGGGAAAGGGGGGCCCCGCTCCGCCCTGCCCTTCCGCTCCGCAGCGCGGCGCCGGGCACCGCCGTTTGGGGCGGAAATTCAAAAACAAAGATTAAAAATCATAATTTTTAAAAATAAGAAAGGAAAAGAGAAAGAAAAGAGGCATAAAAGCACAAAGCGCGGTGGGCCGGTGGCGCTCGCCTCGCTGCGGCGCAGCCCCCCGCGCCCCGCTCCGCGCCGCTTTGTTTCGGCGCCGCCGCGCGCAGCCCCCGCGCAAGCCCCGCGCAAGCCCCGCGGCGCTCACCCATGACGAGGCAGAGGCAGTCGAGGCAGACGAGCAGCGCTTTCCTGCTGCTGCCCTTGGCCGGGTTGTTGTTGAGCGCCGGGCTGCCCCCATTCTTGCTCTCCGGCGCGATCGCCTTGTCGTACTTGTAGCTCTGCATGGTCGGCGGCGAGCGCG